AGCAAACTGACTCTTGGGTCTAGCCAGGCCCTGGGCTCTGTGGACCTAGAAGCAAGCCAGACTGAGGCCTACGCTAGGAGGAATCCAGAAAGTCTGGTGCTTGTTAAATAGTTTATGCTGGTATCAAACTCTCTGTCCTCCTGCCTTGACCCCACGTGCAAAGATTATAGACCTAGTCTGTTTCCCTCATTTTTTGCTCCTCCACTGCCACCCTGTGCTAGACTCAGGGTCTGGTCTTAGGGAACCTTCAACAAACTGAGAGGCACTGGGTACTTCATAGAGAAGATGGCTGCGGCGGCCACTGTCGAGGAAGCGCTTCAGAGGACATGATGTCTGGGATGACCTTGTTACAGTGGAGATGAAGCAGGGAGTGGTGGAGAGGAGGTGGCTGGAGCAGGCGAGGAGACAGGAAGGCTAGCCCCAAATGTCCTTCTCTTCGATGGGCAGGACACTCACTGCCTAAGGTCAGGCACTCTACCGTGAGGAGCATGGGTGAAGTGAGCGAGCAATTTCCTCCAGTCCCGCCCACCATAGTGTTACTTGCTCAGTTATCTGGTCGGCACTGGGGTTCACAGTGCCAACCTAGACGCTGATGTGGAAGCCAGGTGAGGTGCTTAGGTGGCCCTCCTCTTCCTCAGAAGCCTGGCGGTCAAGGCCTCCCTTCCCCCACTCCTGCAGATTGAACCGGGCTGGGAGTCAGGCCAGCTCCCTACCATCTCGATAAGCTAATGTTTGTAATCACTTCAATCTCTTGATCCCCAATCCCGGGGCACTCAGGAGTGAACCAGATGGCCTGAGAGGGAGATGTGGGCCTCTGGGCTCCCACCCTCCTGGGGGCCTTTTCCTGACCTTAGGTACTCCTCAGAGCAACCAGCGAAGCCTGGACTGGGACAGACAACACAGCTATTGTCCCCACCCTAAGTCAGGAGGAATAGCTGAGGTCATCGCTGTGAAATCTACTACTCTATCTGTAAGCCTTGCTCTAGCATCCCAACAGCTGGTCATCAAGATTCTGTTTGGTTACTTCCTTAGTCGGTAGGCTCACTACCACAAATCTATAGGCTATAACTATGAACAAGTAAGAACTCTGAGAGCTGAGCTGAGACAGGATCACATGGGCTGGTTCACATGACCGTCGTTATCTTCCCTAACTGGGCCTTAGACCAGGGCCTGACCTATTACCAAGAAACATTGGAGAGAGGGGCCAGGAACCCCTATTCCAGTCTTGATTCTGGAACTTACTTCTTGAGTAGCCTGGCCTCTCTCCAGCCTGAGCTCCATTGTCCTTATGTGCAGCTGCCCCAGACTGCCCAATATGACAGCCCCCAGCCTAGCAAGCACCTGAAATGCAGCTAGTGCATCAATACGGATTCATCCACTAATTTAATTCATCCACTAATTTTAATTAAAATGTAAAGCCTGAGCAGCAGAAAAATTTCACAAGGATTATGCGTGGCAGTGGGTTGGATATCCTGAGTTAAAGTATTATTAAATAGACTCCATAGTTCCTTTTAATTTTTTTTTTTCATTTCAGATAAGAGCTTTACTATGTGGCCTGGGCCGACTTTGCCTCTCTGAACTTTTCTAAATTAACTAAGGGGCTAAGGGGCACAGGCCTATAATTCTAGCACTTGGAACGTTGAGAAAGGATTGCGGAGTTTAAGGCCAGTCTCTCAAAATTAAAAAAAAAAAAAGAAAAGCTAACTATTAGCAAATCTAAATGACAAACAGGTCCGACCTGGGGACTCCTCAGGGTGCCGCTGACTTACAAGACTGTTGAGCCTTGGAATGAGGCAGACAGTCAAGTCTTTGGGGAGCTGAAAAGCTCCTGACACACTGTAGCTTCCATGGCTGTCAGGCAGAAAGCCTGGGGCTGTGCCTTCAACCACACAAGACGTACTTGTTCTGGACATAAGAGAGAACATGGAGAAATAGGGGGAAAAAAACCAGAAAACAAAAACAAAAAAACGCCAGCAGCCCCTCCCCCTCCACAGTCTGCTGCTCTCTTTATTCAGCTACACATGCATGAACGTCCATGAGGCTTAACACTCTCCCAAGTTCCAAAGCAGAGGTTCTCAACCTGGGATCACAACCCCTTTGGGCCAAAAAACCTCTCTCACAGGGGTCGTATATCAGATAGCTTTCATATCCGATATTTATATTATGATTCATAACAGTAGCAAAATTATACTTACGAAGTAGCAATAAAAATAATTTTATGGTTGGGGTCACCGCAGCATGAGGAACTGGATTAAAGAAGGGTCAGCATCAGGGAGGTTGAGAACCACTGTTCTAAACTCTCAGTTCTAAAGGAACTCACCAGCAGGAGGAACCCCAAATACCAAACGGTAGACATTTCCACCCCATTCCGGTGCCCACTTGTTTAAGGAGTACCTTCACTCTCACCCAGGGTCTGAGTTCTCCTGGCGCTCTCCTGACAGTCTTGTGGTCACTGCCATCCTGGGGAGCTGCCTACTCTTTTGGCTCTCATCCGGTCTTTTCAGATAATGCTCTCTGGGGTTGGGCCACAGTGCCCTCAAGCTTCGACTTCATTTGCCTCCCACAGCTAGGTGTCCAAGTTGGTACCACCTCACTGGGCCCCTTCCCCTAGCCACAATCCTTCGAGCTATAAGTCTGGGTTGTAAGTCAGAGAGAGGTCTGTTTCCCCGAGATGCTCTGGGCTCCCTGAAGCTGAATCTCCTTTCCTCTTCACCACTCACTAGGGGAGTCTTTCCTGGGAGAGGTCTGTCCCTGACGGTGGCTGCCCAGCACAGCCAGACACAAACATCTTTTTATCTTGACATCCAAAATGTTGCCTCTGCCCATTTTGGTGGCTTCAGGGGATTCACAGCTTATCTTGGAACCTTCAATCCTGAGAGTCTTTTGTCCTGTCCTCTGTCTCCCTAGGCAGAAACTGTCAAGACACAGTACCTGCTCCCTCTCCTCAGCAGCCCTTGGTGCCTCCCAGTCCCCATTGGCTCACCAATCAAGGCCACCTACAATCTGTTTTTTCTGTCCTGTTACCACACCTCACATAGACCCCGAGCTACCTCCCTGAGCAGTCCAGTGTCCCCACACTTTAAAATCTCCTGTTGCCTTCGGCCATCCACTCCTGTTGGCCCCATCTCTAAATTCTCCCTGTCTTGGAGGAAATGGCTCCAATGCTGCCGCCTCCAGGAAGCCCTTCCCTACTTTCTTAGCTGGTGCCTCTCCCCTAATAGAAATCACCCTCCATTGCCACCTTCCTTATTGTGCAGATCTGTGTCCCCTTGTGTCCTGGTGTTCTTGTAAGCCATTTCCCGGCTTCCTGTCAGAGTAACAGGGACAGGATCCAGACACTAAATCAGACGGGCCCACAGCTGGCCTGAGGTCTGGTCCAGCAGTACACTAGTGTGGGTGAATTAGAGCCGGTCCTCTCTCAGGGTCTGGCTTCCCTACGGCCCACAGCAGGTGGGCTTCACCACAGTTCTGCTGAGGGAAGGCAGAGGTAATCTTCCTTGGATAATGGTCCCAGAGCCTCGTTTCCTCTGCTGACAATCCCATTACTGGCCTTTGCGATTTATGCCTGAGACCAACCCTAAGCCCATCACTAGCATATGGCGTCCTGGCAGAGAAGGAGGAATGAGATTGTGCACCCCTTCCTTCCTTCCTTCCTTCCTTCCTTCCTTCCTTCCTTCCTTCCTTCCTT